TGCATTTCAAGCCATATAAAGGAGAAGATCATCTATGGTACATCTACCCCAGTTCAGCAGAATGGGCTCTAGCCAGGCTCTGTGAATGTACTGTCTTATGTGTTGCTTCTAGCCACAGAAGTACTTTTAAAATTATTCATATTTTTCTAAAATTTGCTCAACAAAACCAGTTATCATGGTCCCATTCAGGTCTCAAAACATTGCAAAGTATCCTTCAAAATGCTCCAAATCAAGTTTCTTTTTCGCAAGGGCAATGGAAAGATTTTGCTTGGTATCACAGTGGGATACCAAGATTGACATCTGCATTTCCTTCAGGATGTGCAAAAAGTTTCCCTGACATAGGTGTGTTTACATGCAGGAAACGCATTTCCAGTTGGGTTTGGTGTCATGAGGACAGTGCCTATGATTTATCTGAACACAGGAAGGCTTTCCCTCCCTCCCTGCCTGCTTGGCTGGGCAAATAGGTGGCCAGCTCGCAGCCCTCCAATCACCTGGGCTGTCAAGCCTCCACCCCTCAACACTGAGGGCTCACGCACCACCTGCAGCTGGCTTTTAAAGCAAGTATTTTAGTAAAATCACTTTCACTCTCTACTCTTCCATTTATCACAGCAGGAGTTYGGGACTGTGTAATAGGAGCAGAAATTTGCGCTGCAGAAGCTGCACTAAATCAGGTTAGTAATGAAGATTACTGCTGAAAGAATTAACCTGAAAGCAGCCAAGGTTATCACAGGAAATAACCTTGCCTTTAACATATGTGCTGTTTGAGTAGCAAGAGCTGTGGTATGCAGTTTGTTTATGTTACAGTATTATTCTGTCTTTGTGAAGTRAAAATTACAGTGTTAATCTATAGATGATGCAGTTATATTTTCCTTCCCAGTCTGTCTAGAAGGTGATTCTGCTTCTGAACAATAAAGGTTTGCTTTTTGCCTTTATGCATCTTTGACTTCTGTTACAGGTGCTGCTTTCCTATTTTATAGTTTGAAGTATTGTTGGAATACACTTCTTTAAATATTCCAAGGCATTAGGAGTTTTGTGAAAGTCTTGGGCACCACATGAAGTTTTAGGACATTTACAGTAAAATAATGTACTGACTGTGTGAGTGTGTACACACATGCAAATCACGGACAAATCACTAGCTACAGCTAGTCTTGCCTCATCTCTGAATTCTTTTACTTTCATATATTATTGTACAAGATCAAGCCAGGTTTTRCTTCATCTCTGAATTCTTTTATTTTCGTATAATCTTTCACAAGATCTTACTTTCATGTAGTATTTCACAAGATCTAATAAATGTAGTACTGCAATTTTGATTAAGGCTAGATGTACTTAATAAGAGACAAAAAAAATGAACGTTTACAGATTTTTTTAAGGAAAATTAGGCTGAATAAATATGCTAAATTAATCTATATTMATCAGTGTATATTTATATTTTCCAACTTTCAAGATGTTACAAACTTATTCGAGTATTCTATCCTTCATTGGTATGCTGYTTAAAATGTCAAACTGCTGCATCTAAAATGAATAGTATATTGTACAATATTAGCTCAACAGAATAGTTTTAAGTAAAATATCTTTATTTTACTTTGGCTTCAAGAATCATTAGACATTAATCTGAATAGCAGCATTAAAACTTTCAGAGGATTCATATTACTTTATTACATTTGCTTTCAATATGAGATTTTAATGATTTTTTTATTAGAGCTTTTAATGGAAAATTTTGCAGGAAAAGTTGAATGGCAAATGCAGCAAAACTTTGGATTTTCTCATGTGTAACTTGGGTTTAATGAGTACTCACTTAAACCACATGAGAAATAATTAAATTAAAATTTAATTTTAATGGAAATAAAATTAGTGACACATGATGTAATTTACTCTTTTGCTTCAATATCCACTTACTTTTTAAATTTTGTGTAGTTTAGGAGGCTAGGTTACGTTATTTTTACCTGAAACATACTTTGCAGAAATGGTAGATTTTACATGACTATGAGTGAAGCAGTCAAAGCAGTTTTAAATATGAATATAATCTTTGCAGATAGAGGCTTTGTCCCTTGTGTTGTGTTTTTAGTTACAAATCTTTTGACAGCAAACATTTCCTGCCAGAATAGGGCTAACAACAGATGACTRTTAAATGTTGCTGATCATCCAGGTGAAGGAAGAGCTGGTATGAACTATAAAACTGAACTCATCTTCTTGGATTGGCATTCAGATATGCAGTGGACAAGCAGTAAATAATCTGGTTTACAATTGGCTGGGAAAGGCTGAAATTAAGATGATTTTGTCAGCAGATACTGTAGAGGAAAAAAAAAGTAACCAAGACGATAAAGCACAATAGGGATTGGAGAAATGCCTTCTTATTCAGATTCTCTAACAAATACCATGAAGGTCCGTCAGACATGAGGAAGCTTTTTTTTTTGGTTATTTTCCCCCTGTCAAGTTCCTTTCCTGTCTAAATTATGTTCTACTCTCCTGCCTGTCTCTTGGTGGAATGCAGTTGAAGGGATAAAACTGAACTGTAATGTGGATGGCTTAGCAGGTTCTCTAGGAATGTGTTCAAGGAAGGAGGAGGTCTCARTAAGGGCTGACCATTGGTTCTTAAGTCTAAGGCAGTTGAACTGAGACCTCCCTTTTTTGGAGGACGGTTGGAGGCGTATTCTGTGTTTATAGTGTGRTCTGTAGCTAAATTAATACTTATTCCAGAAGAGACTTTCCAAGTGCAGTGACCCAGCGCATGTGGAGCCAAAGAGCGGCCACCTCACTTACATGCAGCAACAGGAATGTGCCAGTGTGGGTAACAAATGGACTTCACAGGTGTTTGCTTGCGACAAAGTGAAACTTGCTCTGCATGTGACGAAGTGCTCTCAGTAAAGCAGATTTCAAAGTGGAGCCTTGCACAGGTTTGAATGCATGAGAAATCATCAGGTTGYGTCTGCTCTGCATCTTAATTAGAAATAACTGCACTCTTCTTCGTGAGTTCTAGGGCATTTTCCTTTTTGGTTTCTTATCACTCATTGCCTATGTTTAAACTCTATGTAAGCTCAGGATTCAATCTTTTCTCTGTTTAAACCACATGAGCAATTCAGCCCTCCGTGACTAGTCATTCTTGCAGGCTACATGCCTAACACTGCTGTTCAAGGCAGGCAGGTGTCCAAGTCTGCTCCAAGAAATGTAGGATGAGYGCATCAGAGATGCCTCAAAAGCACTAACTTCCTTCTTGAGTGATTATGCAAAGCAAGTATSAAAATCCCCCTTTCCCAAGCTGTCAAGTGTGCCTCCCCAGGAAGGGTCAGAGCAGAGCCACTGTTCCCCAACTGGGCAGGACATTCAGCAGGGGCCCAGGCCAGCGCTGGCAGAGCTCATGGCAGTAGAGGCCAGGATGAAGCAGATCCCACAGTGGTGTGCTAGGATGAGGCAGGGTTAGGCTGCAGTAGGGAAAAGAGGAAGAAAAAAAGAGCATCTGGGAAAATACTGAAACCTGMTAGTCGAAAAGTAGAAGAGATAATTTTTTAATGTGTTCACCAACCCTACTTCATGTTCCTCTCTGTCATAAAGATCAACAGAAAAGAAAGCCAATATTTGTCCAAACTCAGGAATAAGACCTATGAGTCTGCAGAAATAAGACCCTTTATAAGAGTGTGTGGTGGCGGTCAGTGTAAGCACAGTGTAAGCATGAGTGTCTAGGACAATGCTGCCACCAAAAGGCAGCTGTTATCTTCTTTGCTTCTGTAGGTTTGTATTTTAGCCTGAGATATGCTCAGCCTCAGCATTCTCACAGACTGCTTGTGAGCCAGCACATCTCAGCAGTGCRTCATTGCCCAGGCTGATCTCTTGCAGGGGGTAATGAATTAAAGGRTCTGCTTTATGAGGGACACCTCAGGAAAACATTACATGTGTCAGTTATTTCTGAAGACACTTGTCACCTCATGCCTATGTCATTTGGTCCTGTGTGAAGCCAAATAGCTTTTTGTAAGCTCATCAGTTCTTCCTGATGCACTCACTTATCAAKTATGAAGGCTTGGAATGTCTCAGCCAAAGCTGAAAGGGGGCCRTGTCTTGGCACACAGCAACAGAAGCTGTGAAGTAGGGTTCAGGCATTGTTTGTATGCATTTATGCATGGTAAGTATAGGAAATTCTGCAAGACAKGCTGAATGTGGTTTTTTCAAGACTATGCTAGGATGGATATACTTACAAAGAGAAATTTCYCATGCACTTGAGGTTTTTTTCCTCCACAGACACAAAGTTTGTGTATTGAACTTGGTCTTTGGTTGTGCTCTAGCTTCCAAAGGCTAAAGAAGAAAGGCTGGGTCCAGGCAGAAGAAATGCCTTGTCTTATTGGCTTGTGGTAGCAAAAACTAGCCTTCTGTCCTCTCCAAAAGAAGCAGAAATCAGAAGCAGAAAAACTCCTATTTTGCCAAGAGAATTCCTTCTCAGCAGAAAAGACAATAATATCAGTTACTGGCCACTGCAGTATATGACTGTACAATTTTCAAGATGCCTTGTCCCAAATGGCAAAGAAGCAAAACAATCTGAGATGCCGTTTGAATAACAAGAGTCTTGGCAATTGCTTAGTTATCTGAGAGCAAGATCTGCCAGAGGATGTTTTCCTGTTAAGAAAATACCAAATGAAATATCATCTGRGGGTTGGGAGAAATAATTCCTTAAAAAATGCTATGTTTCTGCAACATTGAAATTGCTAAGGTAAGGGGCATGGAGTCATAAGAGCATTTCTGCCTGTCACATGGGCTGCATACTAATAAGCATATTAATATAACATCCTAAGTGATTGCTGCAGCTTCAGCAGCGTCATTATGGGAAGGAAGAGGCCTCAGGAATACTTGTCTAAGTATTTAGTGGCGAAAAAGCACATGCCAGCTTATTTAATGTCACAGAGCAGTGTGAACATATTAGTTAGCAGATGTGATTAAAGTTCTTCACGCAAATACTTTTTTTCCATTGTTTTTCACCAGTCAATGTTATGCTATAATAATTTCYTTTCTTTCAGAGCTCGACATCCACCATGTTGCCCTGTGGACCAGCTCTGTCCTTTATTCGGTGTCTGGTGCGGAAGAAGAACATCAATGGTGAAAGCCTTGAGGACACCAAGCTGTGCCGGTGTTTATCGACAGTGGACCTTATAGCCCTGGGAGTGGGAAGCACGCTCGGTGCTGGCGTTTATGTCCTTGCTGGAGAAGTGGCCAAATCCGATTCTGGACCGAGCATCGTTATTTCTTTCCTCATCGCTGCSCTTGCGTCTGTGATGGCAGGTCTCTGCTACGCCGAGTTTGGTGCTCGTGTTCCCAAGACCGGTTCAGCGTATTTGTACACCTAYGTTACAGTTGGTGAACTGTGGGCTTTCATCACTGGCTGGAACCTTGTTCTATCCTATATTATAGGTAAGCTTAAGAACAAACATGGCTCCCAGGGCTTTCTGAGACAGCAGATAAAAGGTACAGATTTATAGGTCTGTCTTTTCTGTCTCTACACTTAGCCACCATTTCTTTTTAGTCCTGCTGAGATGAAATAGCCAAAATAATTTGATTGGGTTATTTCCTCCTGCGCATCACAATTGCAAGCAGGGGTTTTGCAAGATATTTCTGCAACAGTGTGACTTATGAACCACAGAGTATACAAATTGTGTCAGATAATTCAGTGATGATGTACAAGAATAAACAGGATTTCTTAGTTATCTTTGGTCAGCAAGAATAATTTCRGTACAATCAATAAGCATTTTTTATTGAATATACAGAGCAAGGATGTTTACAGGGACCCCATCACTATTATATCTCACAAGAAAGTCATGGTGTTTAAGTGCTAACTTTCTACTAAAGCCTTGTGCTAATTAAGTATCATCCTATCAGGTAATCCTATAAAACACAAAGATGACCAGATCTGAATAAAATCAGTGCTTATGTGGCAGATAGTCAAATAACTATTTCAGTGCTTCAGCAGAGATAGCACTTTTGGATTTTAAAATTATTTCTCCCAGAGGAACATGTTCCAAACTTCCATTATATTGTGTATGAGCATGCCTAGGTGTACATGTGTGCCTAGCTGTATATTTTTACCTACAGGATGGTTACTGAAATCATTAAAAAATTGATACGCTCCAGTACTGTACTAAAACTTATTTCATGAGAGGAGATTTATAAAAATAAATATCTGATAAAGATAAGATTGTATTTGGCTGTGCACTCTTCACCCAGGAGAGTATACATTTTAAACACAGATCTAGTCTTGCTTAGTAATTTTTGCTTGCTTTTAACTTCTTGCTAGTAATTTTGTTCATTTGTTTGTTTTACTTACAGGTAGAAAAACTTTCCTTCATGTTCTTTCTTAAAATTATTTCTTACATTACTTTATATTGTTTAACATATGTCATACTGTAATTCTAGAAATAAGCTTCTTTCAAAATCAGCCATAAGTAACACAGAAATAATTTCCACAATATTTTGGGAATAAATGAGGCACAGTCTGTATATTTGAAAAACTTGTTGCCATGTAACAAGAAAAAATCGAAAACATTAAAATTCTTCAGCAAAACAAACCTGCAGCACAAGCTGTACTTTTTTAAATGCAAGTAGCAGCAGGCTTAGTTTTGTTTCTTTTTCAGTAGAAATAGCTCTATCCCACTGTACAGATGCAAAACCCTAAACACACATATATTTTATGAAGGTACATCAAGTGTAGCAAGAGCCTGGAGTGGCACCTTTGATGARCTTCTTGGAAAACGGATTGGTCATTTCTTCAGTGCCTACTTAAAAATGAATTACTCTTGGCTAGCAGAGTATCCTGACTTCTTCGCTGTATTCCTTATATTACTTTTATCAGGTAAGACATTACGTGGCTTAATTTATGGTGGTTGTGATATTTTACAGTTAAAAGTGCTAAATCGTAGGGGTTTGCACCAGAAATAACTTAAGGAAGTCCAGATGCGCATTTTGTACTGGCACAATGGCTCTGTGTRTATATATAAGAATTAAATGTATATAATCAAATTTTCACATGGACCCTCTTCTCTTGAAGCTGAGACATTAAACAATCACTTGTCAGTATTTTCTTAATAAAACCCTTGCTATAGATTGATGATAACAGAAAAATGACACAGTTCTCTGTGTTTTACCACCAGTAAATGCTTTCAGAGTAACCTGGAGGTAAACCTCTGTAATTTGATGATCTCCTTAAATCTTTTATTGTGCATGTAATTGGCATTTGTGAGGTTATTTTTCCATCTAAATTGTTGACTTATTTGGTATTAAATAATGTTCCCCTTTTTAAGTCTTCAGTTGTTTTTCCTAGAATTTGTTTGAGCTTAAGGGCACCCCAAGGTACTTGCATGGACCAACAGRCCAGTTTGAAACCTGAACAAACCTTTCCTGTCTTTCCTCTTCCAAATCCTGAGGTTTTTTGTCTTTACTCATGTGTAAGGCTTTTAAATCATCAAAACTGACACCAGCTACATGCTATTTGATGGGTCAGAAAGCAAAAAAGTACTGCAACTTATTTCCATATTTGCATTTAACAATTATTTTTACCACACAGAAATGTTCTTACTGCCTCTGGGAGTGGAGACAGCAAGAAGTATATTCCAAAATGTGTAATTTGTTTTCAGGCAATATTAGAAACATTTCAATATTCAGCACTGGTGTCTTACCCATATCTCATATACTTGTCGTGCTCAGTCTTTCTTTGGATTAAACCAAAGCAGGAGCTTTTCTTCTCTGCACAGTGAAACTAAGTTATAGGACATAACCTGTTCTCTGGTTCTTATGTTCTGAGTGGTTTTTTTTTTTTGAGACAGGAAAATATTTATGATCAGCCTATTGCAAGAATGAGTGACCAATGCATCTGAAGATTTATTAGGTCTCTGTACATAAAAGGATGGCTTCCTACAGTTAAGGAAGATCTGGGAGTTTATTTGACTAGGTTTAATCCAGCATCCTGCCATGTTTGTGGCTCAGAGTTGCCTTTAGGACCAGTTCAGATCTTTATGTCCTCAGGAGGGGTGGGAATGAATTTGGAATATAACTGGAGCAGACTTTCAGTTTCACCTCTTCCAAAGAAAGAAGGAAAAAATAACACTTTGAGAAGCAGAGTAAAAAAACAAACCAAACTGTACAGTACTAGTTTAGATGCTGGCACCTTCTATATTTTCTCCATGCCACTGTTGTTTTGGAACATTAGAGGCTCTTGATAGAAGAGGAAATGTTTCTCCTGTTGTTCACCATTGCTCCTGAGTTTTCATTTGTGTCCTATYTTCTTATCCCTACCATGGCTCCTTCTGCACTCCTTTTACATTTGTACTGCAAATTGCCTCTCCAGGTGTCTGTGATAGGGAACCAAACCCCCAGTGACTGAACTGGGTGGAATTCACCACCGCTGAGAGAAGGGGCAGGGGGGATGGCTCAGGATTGTGTAGGCTGAGCAGGATACAGTAATTGGATTGTGAGCCTGTGCAAAGCTGAATCACAGGAGTAGCAGGTGATGTTTTACAGAAAATGGATTTTAAAAATGCACATAGTATGATTTACACTGCATTAGGCTGATTGAGAGTGACACTGCCTTTTTGRGAAAAACTGAGCTGAAGAAAGCATACACCTATTTCTAATAAAAATGCCATGGGTGAAGAAAACCTGAGCAGCTCATAAGATAATTTGTGTTCGGATAAGATAGCAAATATCTCATTAGTGGAGTCAGAAACTTTTTAGACATTATTGTGAGAGGCTTAAAATTTTCAGACTTAATCTCTAAATAATGAGGGAAAGTATGTATGGAAATGCTTAGAGTGCAAAAACCTGTGAAAACATTCCAATTGTAGTTAATTTTTTCTGATCTGCTCACTGCCTGCTCTTCCATTCAACTGTTAGTACATATTAAATTGTTAAAAATCTAATGTTCAAGTAGAAYCCTGATGGAATATCATGTCTAGCAAGTTTGTGCTAATGCTTTTTAAAAAAATCTGGTGATGCTTTTTTGATATTATTCACAGTACTTGCACATATATATACCTTCCTTTGCATGTATACCTTCTTTAAAATGCCATTTTATTAGTACACTGGACCATTTACATCTATAAAATATTTTTATTTTACAGGTCTTTTATCTTTTGGAGTAAAAGAGTCTGCATGGGTGAATAAAATTTTCACTGCTATTAACATCTTGGTCCTATTCTTCGTTATGATTTCTGGTTTTGTGAAAGGAGAAGTTGACAACTGGAAAATAAGTGAAGAATATCTCAGAAACCTTACTGCAATAACAGAGTAATTTTTAAAAATCTATTTACTTGCTCGTATTCCAAACAGTTTTCTATTACACATGCTTTATTAGTAATAAACACCATTAGTGTTTTAATATGTTTTGTCACAAACTTCAAAGCAARTAAGATGATGGCTTCTTGATTCAGATATTCTTCCTTTTGCTGTTATTTTTGTCTTTCTTATAAGCTTGGACATAAAAATGTCATATCATGCAGTTTTGTAAAGCATTCCTCTGTCATCATAAGAACAGTGACAATTTTTCCAGAGTTGTAGGGTAAGAGGGTGTATGTATTTATTCTACCAATAATGAAAAAAATAAAATTATCTTTGTGCTGTATTCTTGTTCTTTATAGGAACCGCACATCCTATGAAAATGTGACAAGTATATATGGGAGTGGTGGCTTTATGCCATACGGTTTCACAGGAACATTGGCTGGTGCTGCAACCTGTTTTTATGCTTTTGTAGGATTTGACTGCATTGCAACAACTGGTAAAGTATTTATACATGTGTGTTTATGTGTTTAACATGGGGTTTTTTTACAAAGAACCACAAACAATATAATAATTACTCTACTTTGCTTTCTTCCAAAGCTCTTTTCAGTCAATGTAGAATGACTCAAAGTTCATTCCTGAACATGGCTATCATTCTGAGAAGGAGATTTTGTTTATTTTACTCCTGTTCTAAAGAAATTAATTGTTGCTCTCTAAGCCTGGAAAGTGCTTAGGATCCAATTTTTCTGCTCAAATACACTTTTTGCTCACTTTCACAATTATCAGAAACAAGATGTCTTTTCTAGTGGCTTGCTTGTGTATGGCTGATAAAGAATGAGTACATTGAACTTACAAATGTAGGTGAATGACTAAAAATAATAGCCTTACAGTACTCTGAATATACAATGTATTTTATGACCTTTAATTTACCTGTATTTTAGTGCAATTTCTGACAAAATACTGAGTTCTGTTCCATATCTCTCAGTTTATTTTATTCAGGTTTTTAAAACTTCTATTACAGATATGATTCCCATGATTTAGATTAACAAGTGATTTGTCTTTGATGTTATCTTTTAAAGCCGAAGGGGAAAAATAATAAGAATTTTTGGTGGGGCATTTTCTTTTCTTTCTTTCAGGAGAAGAGGTCAAGAATCCTCAGAAAGCCATACCCATAGGAATTGTGGTGTCCCTGCTTGTCTGCTTCATGGCCTATTTTGGGGTTTCAGCTGCACTGACACTAATGATGCCATACTATCTGCTAGATGAGAAAAGTCCCCTGCCAGTAGCATTTGAATACGTTGGATGGGGTCCTGCTAAATACGTTGTAGCAGTGGGATCCCTCTGTGCTTTGTCCACAAGGTAARGACATTGAAATACAAATTTTATTTGGGAAAAGCTAATGAATAATATATAACGTTTATATGTATATTCATGCATTCATTTTGAAAGCTCAATCCATGAAAAGAAATAGCAATAAGTATTATATTAATAATTATAAACAAGTTTTAAACTTATCAGGTCTACAAGACAGTAACTGTGTTTGCTTAGGTTCCTTTTTTTTTTTTTTTTTTTTTTTTTTTTTTTTTTTTTTTTTTTTTTTTTTTTTTTTTTTTTTTTTTTTTTTTTTTTTGCAAGTGTAATGTTATTGAGCTCTACCTCTTTGGTAGAAACTTATTACCTCAATTTTTTTAAAAAAATCCAAATATTTTCAAACGTATGACCTGCAAGTTATCTTTATTAACTGACAGGGTAAATGTCACCCATTTTGTCCTTTTTCACTGTTCATTCCCAGTGACTCAGCAGCTTTATGGGCTCTGTGTATTTGCAGGCAAAACTCAAGACATGATTAACTAGCTCCACTCCTCATCTTCATTGCCTGTCTCTGTTTCCCTCCAGTAGCCAGCCTGTCTTCTGATATCATCCCTTCCTGTGGTTTCCGTGTGGGTATTTGAGATGTAGATTATAGCTATGGAAATATTGTAATTTATTCCCCTTTGTGAAACTGTGAATGTAGCCTTAACAGGTTACTTTGATTACAAAGATCAGGGAGGGCATGAGATGTATTAATGTGTGTTCAGATATATCACACTCCAATTGTAATGTGGTATAAACACTTTAATAAAATAGAAAAATTCTTGATACTTGAATTTAGGGATAGAAAAATACTGATGCCAATCTTTTACCTGAGCTTATGTAAGTGAGGAGTCACTTACATGAGCTTCAGGGGTAAGAACACTGGCTGCCTTTCCACAAAGGAAAACAAGTCGCCTGTGGAAGCACTAATACTAAACACTAAGCACTGCAACATAACCCTGTAAGCAATAGCCTGAATATGAGCTAGTTGATTGTGGGCAATGGTTTAAAGGAAAGCAACATTTGGATGTAGGAGGGTATAGAAACATGAAGTAGTTCTAGAAAGACATTAAAAGAATTGCAGGTCTGGCTGAAGAATGTCACAGTTACACAGTTCATCCTGGGATTATGGTTATTTTCTACATAGTTGTCATTGTCCTCTCAGTTTGAAGGGTTTCATTGATTTTTTTTCTTTACATTGATAAATAGTAAAAGTTACATATAAGAAACTAGATTAAAGAAGTTACTTCTGGAAAGCAAAGTGAATGAGATGGTAGAATGCCTTTTAGAAAATTGAACTGTTGGTCTCTTTTTGCAGTGTATTCTGAGGAATTATATTTACTCCTGTGGAGAGATTAATCTTTCAATCTGTTGACTGATCTTAGTTTAGAACAAAACAAAGGAAACTGTATTTCATACTCTGAGTTTAGAGGTATAACTAAGAAAAAACATTTGGATGATTGCTTTTGGTCCATACAGTTTGCTCTGACTGTGCTATGTCATGAACATGCTTCGTTGGGGCAAAGATGTTTGTTAATATTGCCATTATGTATGCGACTGTACTTAAAGAAGGGCAGGACTAATGAATTTTACAAAGCTAATACAACAAAAAACCTTCTGGAATGTACCTTCTTTTTGGAAGGTACTCATACATCAAAATCAGTTCATTTGCATTTAAACTTCTCTCCTGCCTAAATTTAAACCTTGTGTCCCACAAGCATTACACTTAGCACCTGTGTTGTGTAAGAGCTGTACCTTCTTTAAGTGATCTACTTGTTTTTCTAAAGAAAGGGAACTGTACACCTGGTTAAAAACTTGTGACTTGCTGCAGAGGTTATACTGGCTATACCTTTTGTTTTCTTAATTAAAATTATTTCTCTTTGAGGAAAATAAACAACCTAATCTAAGAAGTATGTTTAAGAGCTTCAAGATATCAATAGTTTAGAAGCTTTATGTGTTCTGCTAATAACAAATCTAAATGAATTAGCTTTACTTCTCCCAAACAAGGAACAATCTTAATAAAGCTTGCCTAGTGGTGCTTTAATTGAAAGAATTAATCTGCCCAAGTATACTTGTATGGTGCTTACTTTGAATTACTATTAATCAGCAGGCTCCTGTGGAAATATAGACAGTGAGGGATGCTGCTTATGCTTATTTATTTGCTGCTGCTGACTGACAGACTTCCTCCAGGAAGACTAAAGCTTAATTGCATAGTTAGTGTGATCCGGAACATGTAGCGGGTCCACTAACTCCCAAGAACTACAGTGATGGCAAGACTTACCTTGCCAATCTGGATTCTATCTGATAAAGCAATTTAATTACCTAAATTAATGTAATAATAATAATAATCTTTGCAGTAAAAAAGTAATCTATTTGTGTCTGATCTGTAGTACCTTGGGCTATGGGGCTTTCTGGTTTTGTCTTACAACCATACATTTTGTTTCTATACATGCCATTAAATAACATTTTTTATCATGTCCATGAATACAAACTCTGCATGAATTGTGTTTGCCATGTTGCATGTCTTTGCTTTTTACTCAGTCTTCTTGGATCCATTTTCCCAATACCACGTGTAATCTATGCTATGGCGAAGGATGGGTTGCTTTTCAAATGTCTAGCTCAGATCAATTCCAAAACGAAGACCCCACTAGTTGCTACTCTATCGTCTGGTGCAGTAGCAGGTGAGACTAAGAGTTGATCCTTGTAAAGAAAGGTGCACTGCTAAAYACATTGCATATATGGGAATAAATTACTTTTGTGCAGCTTTGATTTGCTTTGGACTGAAATGATCAAATCTGCTTGTTGCTAGGTAGTCTACCAGTAAGACATTTCTCTACCACAGATTTTATTTCATGGTTGATCTCAAGTTATTTCAAAGACTAGGGTCAAAACAAACAACAATCCAAAACCAARAACAGCAATACAGAGCCTAAGCAAAACTATACCTAAACCCATTAACTCCTTCAAGCTTTCTTTTTGTGTAGTTTGGTTTACCAGTAAAGCATTGTGCTTTTAATAACCTGTATTTGAACTATACATTTTTCTGTTCTAGTCTTCTCGGCTCTATGTTCCCTTTGCCCCGAATTCTGTTTGCCATGGCACGTGATGGTTTACTCTTTAGTTTTCTTGCCAAAGTGAGTAAGAGGCAGGCACCAGTTTCTGCCACCTTGACAGCAGGGGTCATCTCTGGTAAGCTCTCAAAGCCCGTGTTATTTAAAACTGAGATTTAAATACTCCTATGCACGTGCATGGTACTTCACATTTTTTAAGAGGGCTGCTTGTCAACTTCCCTTGCATGTACAATGGGAATAAAATTACTGAGTAATCAACTGGTGTAAGAACTCCAGATCAAGTCAATCATGGTGGTGGTGATGGCCTTAATACCACAGAATTAAATTTTTAWTTTTTTTTTTATATTAACCCCTGGTATAGTGAATAAGCTTGTTACTTAATCTGAGTCCCTTAGGCTGATGCTCTGTTTACAGGACTTCCTTGTCTGATGTAGATAACTATATATTTACTACATCCATAAAGGGGGAAAAATAACTGTAACATTTTTTATTATGAGATATAAGGAAAACAATTACATTTGCAGCAGGACCAATTTTTGTGTAAAATACAAAGTTTTTTTAAATTGAATTCCAAATAAAATGATTCTGTCATTGTATAGGCTTACCAAGTTACGGTTGAGGAGCATGTGTGTGTTGGGGGGGTTATGTGTCTGCATGTATATGTATACACATACATGCCTATGTATATTTTACCAAAACAATATTTTGGGAGCTGTTGCCAGCTCTTAATGTCAGTTCTTAACATGCAACTGATTCACTTTTGTCCATACTTCTTGCAGAGGTACATGTAGCTGTGACCAAATGTCATCATTTTAGTGGGATGCCTCATCACCCAGGAAAACTGGAAGCTTTAGAAGTATTTAAATCAAAGGCAAATAAATAAGTTTTTAAGTAGTTAAAACATGAAATACATGCCTTAGAACTTTAATTTTAGCCAAGGTTGCTAAATCTCAAATAAGAGGTTCAGAAATGAGACTAAAATATTTTTTAGTCAGGGTCATCCTCCGATGCCACAAGACTGGAACTGCTCACACTGCGTATTTGACAATAATGCGGAAAGATATGATCATTGTCCAGATAGTTCCCACACGTAGCATTATTATCACTTCCCTTCTCTTTTGTCAGAGCACAAATCGATTGCTTAGCATTACCTTTATTGTTTCAGCTTTATATAATTTGAATTTATCTTATTGACATATTCTCCTCTAATAATTTGGAAGTGTAGATTTGTGGGATGAAATCAAGATCTTTATCTGAAATGACAGTAGTGATGAGAAGAAAGAATAGTTTATTATGCAGCTGGTGAAGTGATTGATAAAGTTATAGAGCCCTGCCTATATCTCTGCAGCAGCTGACTTTGGATGGCTTTTAGGCAGTCTAGGGAATTTGGTGCATCTAACAGCTCACCAAAAAACACTTTTATCTATTGCTGGAGAAAGAGTGATTTCTTCTTCTAATTTTTTCTTAAAAAATCCATATTTGGTAATTCATGATCATAAATAATTTTGCCAGAATAGTTATGGATGTAGGMAACAACTTATATTACCTGACTTTCCTATTTATTTGTAGCATGAATAGTTTTACAGCTGCAAGAAATATTAAGGAGATGAGATGTTTAAATTAAAGTTGTCAGTTTAAGAATACAGCTGAGGCACATGTTATGTGACTGACCTTTTCACAGGTGGTAATCACCATGACAAAACTCTGCACATAGCAAAATGTTTTGGCATCAGTTCAGTTTCAGAATAAATGGATCTACTGTTATCTCTTGGAACAGAACTGAGAGGTGGAAAAGAAGTACTCTGCATTTCTTTCTCTTAGTAAGAGACTTGYAGATGTTTTCCACTTTGTTTCTAAAGTTAAAGAATATCTGGGCTATAGAGTASCCTTTTGAGTCTAGGATTAAAAATTAAATATAGCTACTATACGTGAGGTTTTAGTAAGTTCTGTTCTTCCTTAATTTTGCTCTTTAGAGCATGAAAAGCAATGAGGTATTCAAAAATCTGGTCTGGAAATCGGTTTTCTTTTTTACTTAGGAACATCCACTCCTTAAAGAAAACAGGATAATCTTTTTTAATTAGAAAAAGAGAGTTAGAAATGAACATAATTTCTATTATATAGAAATTACATAAAAGTTCTGTAACCCAGCAATCTTGTTTTCAGAAAATCACATTTTGCTTCCTCCTTCAGGATCAAATACCAAGGGAGTATATGTCTGTGTGTTTGTGCACTTATGAAGATGTCTACAAATACATTAACAAACACCTACCATAAATGTTAAATACAATTTTTTTGAATATAGAATAATTTGGATGTGAATATACACACAGTGTATAAAAACTACATTTAATATTTTTTTTTGATGTTGAGATTACTGATGATTCAAAAAAAATGCATCTCAATAGTATTAATAAAATAAAAATATTGAAAGAGGCTCTGAGTACATGTATTTCAAATCAATTGGTATTAGCCTTTCATTTACAGATAGTTTCTGCTAATGTCTTTATGAGCAATGTGCTTCTGTGTGCAAATAGACAAAAGAATACATTCCAGAATCTCCAATGAATGTGACATTCGCTTTTATAAACACAAGATTTCTATAATTACTTCCACTAACATGGAATTTTCTGCCTCTGAGTTCACTGATTTTAGGAATATTAATTGACAGATGTTACTGGTCCTTCCCGAAGGTAAATTGAAAACTACTTTTAGTAAGAAAACCATTTAAAAAACCCTCCACAAAACTATTTTATTGGAGACAATTCCTGAAACTCCTCCTCATGCAGAGCTTTTTCCCAGTCCCATTTCAGAAAAATTACTTTTTCTCAGTTTGGCAATGAGATTCATCCTTTCAACTTTGGTGAGATTCTGCTGCAGTATCTGAAYTTTATGGTATAAAATATATTTCTAATATGGCCCCAATCTGACAATATGTGTGTCCGAATAAGCCAAATACAAGCATTTGATTATGCAGCATGACTGTGTGACTTTTCAGTGCCTATCTATACGAATGAGATTGCCAGCTGTAGAGAATTAGGTCTGGAATTATACTAGTAGCTTGAAACATGTGGGTTTAAGGATTATCATTATTTCACTCATGTTGCTGTCAGTAAAACAGTAAGTTACACTGCAGACGAATCTGAAAAACTTAGATTAATATATCTTAATATTAATCTTGGCACTTATGGTTAGACTTGATGATCTTAAATTTCTTTCCCAACCTGAATGATTCTACGATTCTGTGTCAGTCTCATGGATTTTTTTTCCTTTTCTTTTTTTTTTTTTCTTCTTTTTTTTTTAGCTGTAATGGCATTTCTGTTTGACCTAAAGGCTCTAGTGGACATGATGTCTATTGGCACACTTCTTGCTTATTCACTTGTAGCAACCTGTGTCCTCATTCTTAGGTGAGCCAAAAACATCTGTTGTATTCTGCTGTGGTTTTTTTCTTGTTGGGCAGTAAATAAACAGAAACCTTATTTACAAAACATGTTTTTTTTCTAGATAGACAATAGCTGTAAACATATAAATTGTTTCTAAGAAGCAGTGACTCCTCAAAGAAAACAATGATATATAGTTTTATAATTATAGCAGTGAGGCAGGTCAAAAGTTGTGTTGAAATCCAGACACCTTTTATTTTCCAGAAGAAATATTGGTCCAAGCATTAGTCCCAAAGRTACTAGATATGAGCTTGTGTACAGAATTCAGTGAATGATATTTTGATATGAATACAATCTATATTATACATCAGGCATATTGCATTTTGGGGAAAGGTGTAGATGTTCTAGGCAGTTTATGTGATTAACAAGTTCAAGTGGTTGCTTTGCATTGTCCTAGTCAGAAATGAAAGACCAGACAAGTGTTTCAAGATGTGGTGGCCCTAGAAGAGAGTGGAATTATTATCACTTAATGAGTGAGACCATAAATACTTCTCAGTAAAACTAGTATCTGTCATGTTTGTAAACATATGGAATAATATATTGCTAGCTACAGCTCACTTTATTATGTTCTATTTTACAAAAGTCAGCCTTTATTACTTAAGGCTAAGTAATTAACTTTGAAAAGTATTAAGAGCTTAAATTCGGCTCTAATTCATTGTTGCAAAAATTTATACTTTGTAAGAGAAGGTTATTTTACCTCAAAAGATCTTATTTACCACACACATTTTTTAAAATACACTTAAAAGCAAACAAAGCAGACGTAAAATTTCAGTTAATGCCAGTTTAGAAGCCTCYTAGAGTATGGGAAGCAAGTCAGAAACGAGCTCCCTTACTCTTTCCTTGCTGTTGACTACCAGATCCTGTCCTTTATTTCTGTACAAGATTGATCTTTGGTGCATTCAGGTAGCTTAAAAAACTGCCAAAAAATTTCTCAAACCCACCCAAAAAATGAATTGCAGTAGTATTTTATATATGAGAGTGACTAATAATGCTGTTGCAGTGCAGTTATAACTTGGGAAATTCTAAATCTCTACGGAAAAGAATTTAGTACTTACATACAGTCCTGGAGTCATATTGCTTCAAATCTGGAGGTATGCTGAATAGTTTTTTATTACTCTCTTTGTTTTATGCATAGGTACCAACCCACCTATGAGGGACCAAAATACTCTCCAGAAAAAGCAGCTTTGGCTGCAGCTGAAAGGGAATCTGCAGTAAGTGAGTCACGGATAAACATGATAGAAGAGAATCGCTTCCATCTTCAGGCCTTGATGAATCCATCCAGTTTACCAACTGAGCAGACTGCAAATATAGTTAACTTTTTAGTGGGTCTCTTAGGTAAGTCCTGTCCAAACTCATACCTGTATTAACATAAATAGAATTTTATTAAAGACAGAATTAAAAATCCACTGATATCATGCCTTCTCTCAGTCATACCAAATGTGTCATTTGGTGCTTTTATGCTTCTTGATGGGTTGATCTAATCTGTAATCATTTGCATTATAATCACTGAATTAAACATATTCATGATAACAGTACATATTGAAGCTAGCTATCACTTTCTTAAAGGTCACTTCCTCTTCAATTCTGAAATTAAGTGCCCTCTGTCTGTAATTTTGTTTTTCATACAGCTTGCTTGATTTGTGGCTTGAGTGTCCTCATTACATATGGGATTCATTTTATTGCTAAGTTGGAGCCGTGGAGTATTGGCCTTCTTGCTTTGTTGGTGGTATCCTTTGTAGTTACCGTTCTCCTCATCCAAAGGCAGCCTCAGAACCAGCAGAAAGTAGCCTTTATGGTGAATAACTTATTCTCTGTTACTTTCTAATGAGAGCTTTGGATGGATTCTGACAAGTGGGTTGGATGGATTCTAACAAGTGGGAGAGAGAACTTAGAAACTGGAAAACAACTCAGAAACTGATGAGTGTACGATAACTTGTCTGTGTATTCTGCAATTCTTTGGACCTCAATACAAAGTATAAGTCCTTTCATTTTCCACTTTCATTTATATTCTAAGCTATTTAATGGAAGTAATGAAGTATAGTGATGAAAGTTAAGGAATATGGTGGAGCTGGGGAAGCATTTCAGTATAAGGGAGTAGTTATATTGTTTTTCAGCTATAAATACAGGAATTGATTAGTATATGTTCAGCATAAACTGGAAAGCTTTTCTAAAGCCTTGGAGAATATATATTAAACATAATGTTTAGAAGTTTAAGATCTGTAGAAACTGTTGGTTAAACCCAGTGAAAATTTCACTACATTACAAGAGCAAAAAAAATTAAATTCTTCATTAGGAATTACATTTGTAACCTCTAGCTTGTGTTATAAAACTGACATGTGACATGCAAAAAATATATATTTAACACAAATATATTAAATATTTCCTTTTAGGTTCCACTATTGCCATTTTTGCCATCATTCAGTATACTGGTAAATATTTACTTGATGGTGCAATTAAGTGGAGAAACTTGGATCAGATTTAGCATCTGGATGGCACTTGGTATGTACTTCTGCTCATTTCAGTCATTTCATAAACTAGAATTCATGAATCCCACCTTAAAACATAGTTTTTCTTCAAATATTTGAAAAAATCTCAGTGCTTTAATAAAAGCCAGCTAATATTTCTGATCAAAAGAAGAGTAAGCTTCGGAAGAAGTATTTCTATGCAGTCAAAATTGTAAATAAAGCTTTTAAGTAACAAGAGGAATTCCAATATACCATGACTTTTTTTCCTGGTATGTATAGCCAAAATTTTATATAAACCTGCTTGTAAGAGGTTTCTTCCCTTGTATCAGTCCTTCATCTTTTAGATCTAGACATAAATTTATTCTATCAGTCATACTACATGTGTTAGCATTAATTCTATCTAGACATAAATTAGAGATAGTAGTTTCCATAATCTACAAGAGCAGTTAATTATGCAAAAATGATGCACTGGAATTTACCACAGAAACAGGGAACACTTGAAGCATGAGCTCTGATTCAGATATCTGAAGAAGAAAATTATTTTGCAAAACCTGTTCAGCTAGAGAGGTGTAACTACTTTTTAGTGCACTGCTTGCCTGAAAACCCTATGAACTTTTTTTTTTTT